AACTTAAACCAATAATATACGAAGGAATTAATAATTTAATTGTAAAGTTCGCATTAGTTTACATTTATTAAAGTGGAGAAAAGTTTAACTTTTGTATTAAAAATGTGGCAACATATTCGATACGTAAATAGAACGCTTCGCTTTGATATATTTGTCGCTGTTCATAATTGTTATAATTAGTTTTTCTTCTTCTTTCCACGCTCTATATTTTTTTCTTAAGCGAACACGATAATTTTTGTAGCGATATAGAAATAGATACCATAAAAAATTATATAGAAATAGAAATTGATACCATAAAGAATTAATAACGTGGCGGACAGCTGGCCGCCTTAGGCGGCTAGTTTAAAATACATAAGTTTTTTCTAATGTAAGTTTTAAATAGTTTAATATCTCGCTTAAATAGTTTTTTCTGCATCTTATTAGAAACAATAAAAATGATTTTTTTGAACCATTGTTGTTATTTTAGTGAAATTTTAAATTTCATTTTCAACACAAAAATTACAGAACTATGGATATCAATTTCTATATTAATTATTTTGCAAAATAGTACTTAACCTTTAGAATCCAAGACAATTTAGACATTTCAACAAGTGGTAGTCATTGTTTAAAAATTATCAAACATGACTGAGTTTAATTTATTAAGATCTAGTATGCTGTTTTCAATTCTATGTAAAATATTGATTATTAATATTGTTCTAAATTTTTAATTAAATTTACAACCTCAATTTTTAATTAAATATTTCTTTAAAAAAAACATTGTGATTTATAATAAAAATACACTTGTAATGGATGCTTATTTATGCAAATAAGTAAGGAATATAAACATCATGAAGTCTTAATCTACCAAATATTATTTTAAAGTTATATCAATTAGGAATAATAGATACTTTTAAATAAAAAGTTTTTCAGATAAATTATCATATATTTGTGCGATTTTTTCATCAATCTCGTTTGTTATATCCAAATCAGGCTTAAAATCATAACATTAAATTTATTCAAAACATAATTTTCCGAATCAATTTTATATATTTAAATAACAAAAAAAAAATAGTTAATACTATTTTTGCCATTCCTGTAAGTATAGTTAAACTTCAGTTTCCTAAAACATTAGGTATAGTAAAACTTAAAATTTTTATTATATTTCATATAATTAATGTGTGTAAATATTTGTTTATAGTTATTCAGCAAGTTAAATATTTAATTTTAGATGTAGAAATAGTTAATCCCTTTCCCCCTGAAAAGTTTTTTTATAAGGGGAGAAACGTAATAACCTATTAAACTTGACTCAGGTAACAGAGAACCGTCAATTTTACGTCAAAACTACGCATATTTCTACTTTAAATTTTACGAAGCATTCGTAAACTTTACGTAAAATTGAAACGTTGAATTATACCAAAAAATGGTTGTGCTAAAAGCGTAATATTCGCGTAAAATTAAACGCAAATAAATTCATTTTTTTAAAACATATATTTTACCAAACACTTTTTACTTAGTAAGAATGAATATATTATTTTTAGATATTATTTACGTCAAAAGTACGTCAAAATTGATATAAGTTGAAACGCCGAATATAATAAAAAAATAGTTATAAAAATACTGAAAATTTATGTAAAATTTTACGTGAGCTAATTCGTTTTTTTACGACTATCTTACCAACCACTTTTTACTAAATATAAGAATGAGTACAATATTTAGGTCAACAAAACGTCAAAATTTACGGAAGTTGAAACGTCAAATAATACAAATAAGTGATTATCCAAAAGAGAGAAAATTTGCGTAGATAAATTCGAACCGAAATTCAAATGGTAAATTTACTTCGTCAATAATACGTAAAATACACAGAATCATTTTTACTAAATCTCAATAGCAAATAATCTTTCGTAAAATATACGAAATCAATCTTACCGAAAAGTAGTTGGTAAAATTTATTCCGTTCATATTGCGTAAAATGTACCAAAGCTTTTTTTAACAAATATCTCAATGGTAATATCATTTCGTCAATATTACGAAAAATTTACGTATAAAGAATATTGACTGTACAAACTTCCCAAACGTTTACGTATCATGCGTGATTTCATAGAACATGAAAACCAAAATCATTATCACGAAATAGCAAAGCACTAGGTGAAATAGCAGTCTAAATATCAAACAGGAAATATACTGAAAAGAAATTAAAGTGGAAGCACTGACACGTATCATCGTCAGGGGGGCATTACTATGCAGCCTGTGGGGGAGCAGTTTCAACAGTTGGTGGAACATTACCGCAAGCAAACATACTGCCTCAAGAAAAAACAAAATAAACCAACAGCAAATGAAGACTATATACCGAAATATTGAAGTGCATAAAATTACCAGAAATGCATAAAATTATGAAAGAAATTTTTTTTTAAATTTTTTCTGCGCATGTGTAGTATAAAAGAATTACTTTAAACTTTCACATCTTGAGCAGTTTTTCATTTTTTTTAAATCAATAATTTTTAAATTAATTTTAATTTGCTCCAAACATTTTGTTTAATTCCGTTGTATATCTTTAGAATTATAGCTAAAAAAAACGTAAGACAAAATAAACAATTAGTTTTCTATAAAAATGTTTTGGCATACAAATCAACAGAAATGCATAAAATAATGAAAGAAATTTTTTTTTAAAATTTTTCTGCGCATGTGCAGTATAAAAGAACTACTTTAAATTCTCATATCTTGATTTCAAGATTTTTTTTGAAATTTTAAATTAATAGTTTTTAACTTAATTTTAAATTGCTCCAAACATTTTGTTTCATTCCGTTGTATATCCTTAGAATTATAGCTAGTAAAAACGTAAGACAAAATAAAAAAAATAATTTTCTATAAAAATGTTTTGGCATACAAATCAACAGAAATGCATAAAACTATGAAAGAAAATTTATTTTAAAATTTTTTCTGCGCATGTGCAGTATAAAAGAACTACTTTAAATTCTCACATCTTGAGCAGTTTTTCATGACTTTTTTTTTAAAAATTTTTCATCAATATTTTCAAAATTAATTTTAAATTGCTCCAAAAATTTTGTTTAATTCCATTGTAAAGTTTTAGAGTTATAGCTATAAAAAAACGTAAGACAAAATAAAAAATTAGTTTTCTATAAAAATGTTTTGGCATACAAATCAACAAAAATGCATAAGACTATGAAAGAAAATTTATTTTAAAATTTTTTCTGCGCATGTGCAGTATAAAAGAACTACTTTAAATTCTCATATCTTAAGCAGTTTTTCATGACTTTTTTTTTAGAAATTTTTAATCAATATTTTTAAAATTAATTTTAAATTGCTCCAACAATTTTGCTTAATTCCGTTGTATATTTTTAGAGTTTTAGTTTTAAAAAAAACGAAAGACAAAATAAAACATTAGTTTTCTATTAAAAATGTATGCATACAAATCATCGATCGAAAAATTACTCAAATTATGTGACATTTGATTCATTTAATTCAGTGAACATACAAAAAAATAATATTAAATGAATAGGTAGAGTTACAAAATTGTGGAATTCCTGTGAAGGGACTTATCTAGTGAAATCCCATTTCGTGTATTAAAAATAATATAAAACAGGAGGAAGTAACAGGGACTTATAAATGAGACAGCAGAGACAGCTAATTAAGGACAACGTTTCCAAAGAGTTAATTTTCTAACGGGATTAACTTTTTAAACGGGAATGCCATGTTATTGTATTAGCATACTCGCATTTAAGGCTCGAGTAAATAAAGCCTCTGTCTTTCAGTGCAGACTTTATTTCCTAATTAGGAACACTGACGGCAATTTTATTCTCTTAACATTTATCCCTATAAGAACATCACCCGATCAATACATTCCAGAACAGTTGCTCCTAATATAAAGGATTGAATAATATATTCTTAAAAAATATATTCTTAAATAAGGGAAACGGAATGTATGCAAAAATATTATTTTTCTGGTCATTTTTATGGTATGGTCAATACATTCCAGAACAGTTGCTCGCAATATAAAGGCTTCAATAATATATTCTTAAATAAAGGAAACGGAATGTATGCAAAAATATTATTTTTCATCATTTTTCTGGTATGGTCAATACATTCCAGAACAGTTGCTAGCAATATAAAGGCTTCAATAATATATTCTTAAATAATATATTCTTAAATAATATATTCTTAAATAATATATTCTTAAATAAGGGAAACGGAATGTATGCAAAAATATTATTTTTCATCATTTTTCTGGTCATTTTTCTGGTATGGTCAATACATTCCAAAACAGTTGCTCGTAATATAACGGCTTCAATAATATATTCTTGAATAATATATTGTTAAATAAGGGAAACGGAATATATGCAAGCATATTATTTTTCGTAATTTTTCTGGTCATTTTTCTGGTATGGTCAATACATTCCAGAACAGTTGCTAGCAATATAAAGGCTTGAATAATATATTCTTAAATAAGGGAAACGGAATGTATGCAAAAGTATTATTTTTCATCATTTTTCTGGTATGGTCAATACATTCCAGAACAGTTGCTCGTAATATAAAGGCTTGAATAATATATTCTTAAATAAGGGAAACGGAATGTATGCAAAAATATTATTTTTCATCATTTTTTCTAACTTAATATAAAATTTAAATAAATTAGTTGAATTCATTTTTCGAAAATTTATAAACATTTTTTAACAATAGTTATCACCATACAGTAGATGCTTGAAAGTCGTTAATATGCTCGTCTGCAGATTTACTAAGGGTGATCGGCTAAAGTGCGGAATCGAGTGTTTTCCGCACTTAATAATTTTAAACCGTTTGATTCTTCGTATTATAATATTCGATCGATCCTATTACAATATTCGATCAATTGTATTGTAATAAATGATTGATTCGATCGACTAATGCGTTAAATGTTTGTACTCGATTTTTTAAATTTCATAATTAAACATATAAATTTCAAAACATAAGATCAAGATTAATTTTGCACCTGTGCTCGGTTCTTGCACTAATCGAAACAGCTAAAATGTCCTCAGTCAAAAACGCATTAATATTGAAAGTAATGATTGAACTTAACTAACCTATGCATCGAGCTCCTCCATTGTTTTATAACAGAAACTTGATCAAAAATCTGATTCTCCCAATGAGCAAAACAATAGCCATAACAATATGGACTTGCGAAAATAAGTCCTAAGAATCATACCTGCTACGTTTCACCATTTGAAAAAGAAAAAAAATCTATTATAATGTAAAAGAGAAGAATAAATAAAAAATGCAACGATTTCTAAGTAAACCCTAAATGAATTTTATTTTCCAACAGGCAAACAATCTATATTCAAGTCAGAATACGATCATTAATAGGTAATTTTCTAAAGAGTTTGATGGGATAACAATTATCGTTAACTCCAGAAAACTCCCCTGGGAGCTTATTACATGGGAAGTGATAACATTCCGGATTATATGCGGCTGATACATAAGATCAGGGAAAAAAGAGACATCTGTTGTATCAAGTTTCATTAGTGAAATGGATTCATTGGCCAACTTCAGTGGTCAGAAAAACTACATTATTTTCGTAATTCACTACTACTACTTTGTTACATATGTAGTTAACTATAACTACTTTTTTTTAAATTTAATGACTACAGACTACTTTGGACTACTTTTTTTAATTCTTTCTAAATAATGGAAATTCACTTCAATATAATAGAAAATATTTATTGATCATAAATATCGTTTTTAGTAGGAATTATCTTCGAATAAAGGAATCTTCTAACTTAGTACCATTTCTTTTTAATTCACTCATTTTTAGTTTCAGAAGTAAGAAAAGGTATTCAAAACATCGGCTGCTCTTTTTGATTATTAGGACCCTTATTTCTATGATGAGGTTACTACTTTTTTTTTTTCGTTTTTCAAAAATTCAGAGGAAAATATATTAAAATAAAGAAAATGCGTTTTTTGTATCTGATTTTGAACCTTAAAATGTCGATTACCTCATTTAAGATCAATCTCTCGAATCATTAAGATCACATTAATATATCCGAATCTGGTGTTCTGTATTTCATACGCTGTTTGACTATTTTTAAACGAGAGAAGTGCTTTAATCAAAATAAACAACGTGTGAGAGACTTTTTACTTCTTCGTATTCGCGATCGCAACGCTCGAATACGCCATCTATGACCGGTTCCATGCGTTTGGCCCTACCCCTTTCCTTCTCCTCCTCTTTTCAGATGTATAGGAATGTTCTACGATATTTTTCCCCTTCTTAATATTTTTCGTATTTAATTGTCCTAATTATTTTTTAAAGTTTTCGATACGCTTTCTTTTAGAGCTACTTTCTATGTAGTTTTCAGCTCCGTATAGTTTTCTAACTTGAAAGGTTTTAATCCATTTGAAAATCAGGGGAGAAACTGACGTACTTCCTTCTCCTATGACTCTCCCCATGCTACTGGTGAAAGCATGTGAAGTGCTGCCATAGGTAGAGAGTTCTGCTCTATGCCACGTATAGCCCATTTCGATCACCGATTCTCTTTAAATAATCCTCAATATTTCTTTCTAACCGGTTCTGTTAGAGAGGGAGCTCTGCTTGTGTGAGAAGGACTGTCACCAAATTACATCATTGCCAGATGGCGACAAGAAAGCGACAGTCGCAGATACTCATTTGTGAAATCACCTGCAGATTTTGCGTGTAGGTCATGGAATGCTCAATGTCCACCCATAATGTCGTCACACGTTGACCTCACACCTAGATGTTAGTTTGCGTCTATAGTGAGATATATAGTGCATGCGGATAAGATTACTTTACCCGTACGCTTCAAATTGGTATTTGATTAGGTTTGGAGCAAGTATAGCGACAAATTCTTTTGGCACATTAGTTAACAGTTAAATTCGATTCGATACAAAATGAAAATATTACTTTTTTTTGTACGGCATGCACTGAATTTTCGTTCTTCAGCTCAGAAGATGCCGGAAGTGGTGCTAATTTATCGTTACCCATTGGGCACCCGCGAACCTAAAGCACGGAGGCGAGCAACATTACCCACGCCACACTGCCACAGATACCCGTTTATAGGGTGGGACACATTCACACATCAGAGAACAACACATGGAGAGAGAAACATCCATGCCCTGAGCGGGATTCGAACCCGCAGCCATTGGCTTTGCAGTCAGGCACGCTGACCGCACGGCAGCCTGGCCGGCAGAGAAAATTACTAGTCATCTATTATTAAGGAGTGCTCGACTTCGCGCGCAGGTCGTCGTGCTACCGAAGCGGGCGTGCCATCCCCTCCGCAGAGGATCAAAATTGTGATGGACGGATCATCCTCCAGGATGTTTTCCAGACCGTCGCCAATAGCCCATTGTTCAGCTCTAGTACGACGTAAATTAACAACAATAGCAACAACAACAACCATTATTACGGTGTAATAATCAAAAATGTCGAATAATTAATAAAAAAATGACTTACCATCCAGTTGAGCCCAATCTCCCAGGCATGGTATTCTCGACTTGATACTGGCCTGACACTTATCGTACCTCGCACTATCATCTAATCCGACAGTTTCGAAACGTCCTTTCACACCACACAGAAGGGCTGTAGCGCACGCACCAGAATCCCCAACTTGACTGTCTGTGTTGTACGTCTATAAAACACGTTTAAAATTATTTACTAGATGCAAACATATTAAACAAAATAAAAAAGAACTAAAAAAGTTTGTTTAAGATTAAAAGGAAAATTTCTACATAAGTTCTTAATCTTTTAATTGTCTGTTAATGAAAGATTCTTCGTTACAGACAAAGGGCACTAAATTTCAAATCGAATTACATATATATAATGTATATGCTAGCTAAATCCTTCCTTCCTTCGGAAAGGGTGAAAAAAGAGAAGCAATAAATTAAAATTAGTAATGAACAACACTACTAAATCATACACTGGGGTCTGTTTCGAAAAAATTTGGGTCCGTTAACGGACCCTTCACAAAATATTTTAACTTAAAAACGGGCCCTTCACAAAATGATTTTTCTTTTAATCGGACCCTTCACAAATTCGTTTATCTTCATTATTGCTCTGTTAATTGAATAAACCTTTCCCAGGGGGCAGAAAACAAAAAAGATGGATGTAAACGAATTAAGTTTTTTCTTCGGCAGACGATTCTTCCATTATTCGTCCGAAATTAATGTTCTGTGTTCCGCAGTATAAGCTAAATACCAAATATTTCTCTAATTTAGAAGCAGCAATTGCTGTTTATTTTGAAAAATTTCATTTTTTTAAAATTATAATTTTACAGTGCTGAGCATAATCTTGTATCTATTTACAATTTAAAAGCTCCTTGAAAAAGTTTTTTGCAATAACCGGACCCTATTTGCACAAGTTCATAAAAGCAGGACCCTGGTTGAAAGAATGTGAGTAATTTTNGCAATTGCTGTTTATTTTTGAAAATTAAATTCTTTTTAAATTATAATTTTATAGTGCTGAGCATAATCTTGTATCTATTTACAATTTAAAAACTCCTTGAAAAAGTTTTTTGCAATGACCGGACCCTATTTGCACAAGTTCATAAAAGCAGGACCCTGGTTCAAAGAATGTGAGTAATTTTTTCACAAATTCACAAAAACCGGACCTTTCACAAAATGTCTGGACAGCCCCTGATACACCAAACTGGAAGACAAATACAGACACAATTAAAAAAAATAAAATGATTCGATGCTCATCCTTATGACTTTACATTATTATATTATATTATATATTGCAAAACATATTTTTAGTAGCTAATCCCTACAAAATAAAGATAAGTATCATGCTGTTGCTCAAGGCCAACTCATGTTATTTTTAATTTACCTTATTCAAGCGATTTTCTCATGCGTAAAATAAAAACTGTGAATAACTTTCTATCTAATGATCGGATTTTCACTGCATCTAAATGGTTAGAAGGGGTGACCTCAAATATGGTAATTAATTAGCGCAGACGATATTTTAAGTTACGAAATAAGACGCAAAAATGCATTTTCTCTGAATAAATTTACTTTTCTTTCGACAGATTCGAATTTTTGACTCCCAAAATATAGGGGGTAGCAGCTATCTGGAACATGTGGTCCCAATAGTTTGGTCAGGAAAGAACTCCGAAGTTTGGTCCCCTTAATGTCAATTTGATTTTTTGAGTATTTCGCGATATTTTGGAAATTTTTCAAACCAATTATTAATTTTTCCAGAGATAATTCTATGCAAAAAATGAATTTTAGTAAATATTTATTATTTTTTTGTTATTTTGTTTAAAAACAATCGAAAAAATTTTGAATTGTAAAGTATAAAATTTTTAACAATATGTAATTTTAAATGGCAAAATACAAAATGTACATGAAATTAAACATATCTAGCAAAAATCAGGAAATTAAATGTAAAGAAAGCGAAGTGTAAGTTAATTTGAATTGCTACTCGCTTTATAGATTTCGTTTTGTGTTTTGTTCTGTATTTTCTTTAAAAATTATTTTCTGTTTTTTGCTTCATATGTTTTAGTTCTTATATATTCATTGTTTAATGTGTTTTATTTTTGTTTTAATTTTTTTATTGCTCTTCACATTATTGTATTGATATATTCTGCTTTGGTTATATTGATACAAAATTTATTCATGAATTATTAAAGGGAGAACAGTTAGGGAAAATCTAGCAAAGTAAATTGGTAAAATGTTTCATTTTTGGTGAGTAAAGGTAAACTTAGTAACTGTTATTGGTCTGTTAAATGGGTCCAGGGAAAAAGTCTTTCCCACGAATTAGCTAGAGCAGTGTTTCCCAAACTTATGACTTTTGTGTACCCTTTCTAAACTTTTATTTTCTAAAATTATTTATGGTCAACTTGATTAAATTATCCAGTATAATATTACCTTGCGCACATCCATTACGGGCCCATCCTTGATAACTAACAAATCAAACGAACTTCAGCAATGCAGTAAGAACGGCACTTTAAAACAAAACTCCTCTAGTTACGCTCAATTTGCGCGTTTGTTTTCATATTTTGCAATCTGGCAATCTTGTTACAAAAATCTTTTTTTAAATCATTCTTGTAAAATTTCCCGTTCATGTAAGTACATTTGAATTCGCTACTCGCTTTATAGATTATGTTTTATTCTGTTTTTTCTTTGTTCTTTTTATCTTATTTTATTTTCTGTTTTTACGTGTTATATTTTTACTTATTCTGCTCTATTTAATTTGTTGTATTCTATTTTGTTTTTTTGAGAGCTTCTCACACTATTATATTAATATATTTCGCTTCGGCTATATTGATACAATATCAGAAAGCACTCTTTTTTGCGGATATAATCGTGTGGGCTGATGAAAAGATTATATCTTTTATTTTCCGGGCTTTAAAAAAAAAAAATTATCCTTTTTTCCCCCCAGTTGTTTGTTATATTTTCATTATTATTTTTCTTCCCCCCCCCCTTTTTCATATGTCTGTAATTTTCCTTTGTTTTATCTTCATTTTGAACTTATCTAATGAGTTCTGTTTATTTGCAGCTTATGCGTAATAAATGAAACTTATTGTTTTTCTTAATTTTCTTCAGTTTTTTTTGTATTTATTTTGTTATATATATATATATATAAAGTAGTATATGAAAGAGGCAAATATAAATAGTTAATTACTTTAGCGAAGGCGACATATTCAAATTTGTCGAAAGCTAGTTCATTCTCTTCTCCCGTCTGTCCTCTCTTCTGTCCCCTGAGTATTCTTGCAGTTGTCACAGTTGTCATTCCCATTCCATCACCAATAAAGAGAATCAAGTTCTTTGCCACGTTGTAGTTCCTGTCGTCATCTAAATTCTTTAGTAGCTGACTCTTTGCTTGTTGATACCAATACCAACGATCTGAAATGACACAACAACACACTTTTCAAATCACAATAACACACTTCATTATTTAAGTAGATTCCGTTTTGTTTGATATTTTTTTTCCACTTCTTCTCTTAGAGTAAGATTTGTAAGTCTGGAAATCAAATGTTTAAAATTATTAACCTTCTTGTCAAGTTATTTTGATGATTTGGGTACGTAAATGGTTAATTTCATTTTTAGTGGGAAAATCATATGTTTAGCATAAAATAAAATATACTTAGTAGTTAAAAATTGATGTTTTGAATGACAGGCACTAAAAGTTTTAAGTTTTCTAGCATATTAGCTTGAGTGGCTGCCATTCAGCGTGGCAGTGGTAAAGTTTGCTCTAGTGGAGCATTATTTTCTAAAAATTAAAAAAAATATTAATTAATTATTTTCTAAAAATTTAAATCATCAATATAATGCTTCAATGAACAGAACGGTCCGGAAGAATTTTGCAACAAAAAAAAAATGCCTGTTACTTTGAGTATAGGCTCTTTTGAAAACGTCAGTAAAATGCTGCCATCTACTGTTCTAAATTTCATCAAAATTAACTTTTCCCGAGATAGATCCGGGTTTGACAAAGCAATATAAGTAAAATAAGGTTTATTTTCACTTAGCAAAAACCTCTTAATGTAAACCTAAAAAGGTTTTTCATGCGGTTTACGTGTAAACCTTCTAACCTTAAAATGAGATCTGCGACAATCTGCTCTATTCTACGCACATTACCCTGATCCAAAACCTTGGAAAACAACCATCGATATAAAAACCTTAAATCAAGGTTCACTTAGGGTTTTCAAGTGTGAAAAAATCCATTAATAAAGCTGGTCTCAAGGTGTAAATGATCTTAAATCTAGGTAATTATAAGGTTCCTTTTCGCAAAGTCTTGTATGCTCAGCTAAAATCCAGCTTGTCTTGAAATTTTAATGGAACAATGCAATTTGATCCTATCGTTAGTGTGACGTCAGCTCAAACGTCATTATGGACCTGAGTGACAATACTTTCTTAAAAAGTTTTAAAAACTAATTTTTAATCCTTTTAGGATGAAAGGTTTGAAACTACAATATTTTTGATTGAATTGAAAAAAGGTTTTTAGTACAAACGTTTTCGTGATAATAAAAAGAAAATTCCGATACAAGGTTGACGCACCCGGCTCGCACTGACGACAGTGCTGATGTAAAACATCCTCAGTGGTAGACGAATCATAGGTCCGAGTCCCCTTGCCGTGAGGCAAACCGTAGGAGGTTTTCATCTCCATGAGACGCAAATGAGGGTTATTTCCATCAAAGAAGTCATCCACGGAGGAAAATTTCTCCCAATACTTGATCCAGTAGTTCCCTTGTCTTCTGGATTGGGTTCATAAGTACAAGTCTATGGAGTTGAAAATTACTATTCGTAAACACGAAATTGGGTTGGCTGTTCAATAACGATTATAAAATTAAAATAAAATAGCACTTAGATACAAATGGTTCCGTTGTAGGTATTTATACGATATTCAGTCGGGAAAAATCATCCTAAAGTTTATTTTTAAAATAAAAATCAGGAAATTACAGTTGTTGACCCAGAGCAAAGGTGACCCAGACAGTTTTTCGATAATTTTATTCCCTCCTTTATTTAACTCAATTAAGTTTGAAAATTTTTTCATTTTGTCTCATAATAATTTGTGAGACATCAAATTTATTGCATATTTAACTAAAAGCATTAATTTTGGTATAATTTCAATCCGCAATCTGATTGTGTAATAGATAGATGATAGTTGAGCTTCGTTTTTTCTATTTATTTATTTATTAATTTTGTTGTTATTTTTGCTCTTTTTGTTTTACAGCAAATATTAAAATAAGGAATAAATTAATATCAAATTGGATATAACAAATATTTCGGACATTCACCAAAGCGACTATGTGGTTGTTAACATTCACCGGTGAAAGTCGACATTTTCCCGTTTTCGGTCATTGACAGTAACATAATCACGGAACCATGGGCCGTGAATTGCTTGATCACGTAAAAGTGATCACGGCCCTGACGGGGTTAACCAAGGTTTATTGGAACTCAATTTTCATTTAACTTTAAATGTTGAAATAGAGCTGTGATGGCTCAGGAGATAGAGCGTTCGTTTTCCAATGAGGTGAACCGGGGTTCGATCCCAGCGATGGCTGGTGGATACGAACTCCGCATCCGGCTTGCACCGATCACAGTGCTGACGAGAAATATCCTCAGTGGTAGACGGATCATGGGTTAGAGTCCCCTTGTCGTCAGGCTAACCGTGAGAGGTTCTCGTGGTCTTCCTCTCCATGTAATGCAAATGCGGGTTGGTTCCAACAAAAAAGTTCTCCACGAAGGCACATTTCTCCCAATACTTGATCCAGGAGTTTCCTTGTCTTCTGGATTGGGTTCAAAATTACAGGGCTACGGAGTTGAACATTAGTAGTCGTAAACCCAAAAATTGGGTCGGCTGTTCAACGACGGTTATAAAATAAAATAAAATGAAATGTTGAAATACCTATATGAAAATGTAACAGTATTTGCCATGAACATTTTTTCCAGTGGTATATAATCCTCTTAAGTGTTTATACAAGTTTATACTAAATATACATAAAGTTTAAAATACAAGTTTATGTAATATTCTTAATAAAATAAGTATACAAAAGTTTACACTAACGAATAAAAACATACATATTCATACTATTTACCACCTGGTGCGTTTACCATAAGGCATTTGGTGATTCGCTTTAATGGTATTTGAACTTTTAAGGTAGAAAATAAATTTCATCCGGTAGCCACCTTGCATGCTCCGTTTAAAATGTAAATAAATAATGCTTAGGTTGAACATATCGATATCTCTTCCCCCACCCCCACTCCCATCAACATATGGAATTTATATTTCTCAGCTGAATCCAAATGTTATGCAATCCATTCAAATATATGCGCATAACTGTAAAGCAGGCAGCGTCACCTGGGGGAATTAAATTAAAATCATTTCCGGGGAAAATTGTCTCCCGGCGCGATTTTAAAGTAGTTGTTGGCTTTTCCAAGCGATATTCGGTGAAATGTTTCTGCCTCGATATTAAATCGGGAATATCGATATGGATTGGAAAGCCTGTGTACACTGTACATCTACTCTTCCTTATGCACACGTATTTGCTATATATTTTTTAAGAATTTCCTTTCTTCAAATAAGAAAAATGGGCATTCGTAGAAAATGAACTATTCGAATGGTTTTAATACTTTGCGGTGTATTTCTTAAAAAAAAAATTTAGTTGCAATTTGGCGATTTGCATCTGGATTTGAGGAGGCGTCATTTTTATCAAAAGGTTAAAGTAATAGTTATTAATAATAAACCAGTTTTTCCGGGGGAATAAATTACGCACATTTATCCGTGGTTATGATTAATAGTTGAGTTGGGTCAGTGTGATTAATTGGGCAAAATTTATTCAAACTCCAGCTCTAACGTAATTTTTATATGTCCCCTGTGGCTGAATTTTTTTTTTCGAGCTATCTGCGACAAAACTGTCTAGCATTAATATATTTCTGCAAGATACTTTTAATAATAACAAACATGTATGTTACTAATTTAAACCACGTGTTTACAAATATATATATATATAGATCANGCACTAATATCTTTCTGCAAGATACTTTTAATAATAACAAACATGCATGTTACTAATTTAAACCACTGTGTTTACAAAAAAAAATCTATATATAATTCTTTTTATAATTGAACATGCAATAATATTTTGATATTCGCTTTATTTGTTGAGGAGGGGAGGGTAACGCAAAAATTATTTCCTTCTCCGCATTTTGTCAATAATCATCACAATAAAAAAATAATTAAAAATCGTGAAATCCGTTATCAAAAATAAAAGATCGAAGACGAAATCACGCGAATTGGACTCCTCAAATGCATAATAAATAATCGTAGTATCGAAATAAAAATATCGGATTTAAAAATTATTGTGTAATCAATAGCTGCCAAACATTAGATAGAATCATTGCCTTAAAAAGTAAATACTCAAATGCACGATTCGAATTTTTCCATATCGTTTGAAATATATCGAGATATTTAAAAACCACGTAAAAATCAATATCAATAACGGTCGAAAATACAATCGAAATAATGCATCAATTTACAGTACTATCGGCGTAAATTAGGAGTGTCAAAAGTTATTATCTAAATGCATGGTTCAAATAATGCATGGTGTAAATTTCTGTAGAAAAGAAAAGTAATTTTTATTTTATTTTTCGAAAGAAAAATCTTTCTGCAAGAACTCTAACATTCTGCGACGATGTCGCCATGTCGCTGCGATTCTCCCATGGGGTATATGTCAGTGTATAGTGGTAATAAATTTGTATTTTATAGGTCTATGTATTGTGGTATAAGTCCATACATATATATTCTGTTGCTGAATGATAATTTTTGAAATCTTGTTCATAAAATTTCATCAATAAACCACATTTACCGGTTGTTATTAAGAGTGTCCCAACTAGATAAGTTGATTATTAATAATAACCGGTATACATAAATTCTAATAGATTACTCATTCTATTGGACTTTTTTAGTTCGTATTAAGGGGCGATTATATTAACAGATAAATTACATTTACACGTAACAGATACATGACAGTATGATTGGCTTTTTATTTCGGATAAACAAAACGTTTACATTACCCAAATTTGACAGTAAAAATAATATGTATATAAATATAATAATAATATATATTGTTCCTGAAATAAGACAAATATTTTCTTTTTTTAATAACTGAATAAATAAAAAATAATAGGGTAGCTAACAGAAGAAAAGTTATTCATATTAAATTGAAACTTACTACCATTTAAAAAAAAATGGACCACTTTTCATAAAACTGTTGTATTAAAAATTTGGACATTAATAGTTTAAAAGTTCACTTCGCAGTGAGATTTCGCCCTTTTACGTTAGCTTCCGCACGTGCCCCGTACGTAAGATTTGAAGTAACTGCGCATGTTCGCGTTAATTTTAG